TAGCAATCTGACTAGGGAAGAAGACAAGGTTGTGTGGAAGATTGGTAGCAAAGGGGTTTTCAGTGTCAAGTCAGCTTACAAAGATCTTAATCAATCAAATTCAAATGATAGGATGGAGCTCTGGCCATGACAGATGATATGGAGACCTAAAATCCCATACAAGGTAAACTGTTTCACATGGTTACTAGCAAAGGAAGCAGTGCTGACACAAGAGAATATAAAGAAGAGGAAGTTCCAACTAAAAGATGCTATTTGTGTGAGGAACAGGCAGAGACAGTCAACCATCTCTTCTTGCATTGCAAATGGACAGATCAATTATGGAGAATTTTCAGCAGCCTTAGAAAGATCACTTGGGTGAAACCAAGAAACATAGTACACTCCTAAATTGTTGGATCAATATTGGCAACACTACAATTAAGGAGGAGAGATGGAGGATTGTCCCAGCTTGTATATGGTGGACAGTGTGGAAAGAAAGGAATCAAAGATGTTTTGAGGGCAAGAAGAACAATTTGCAGAATTTCAAGATGAATTGTATAGCTCTTTATTATTTTTGGTGTAAACAGAAAGTCTTAGTACAGGCAGAAGAACTTTTTGATGTTTTAGACTATTTGTGAATAAAGCACAGATGGAGTCAGTCTAGTTTGTAATACTTTTGGAGGGGGGCTACTTTGATGTAGTATACCTGTGGATAAATAGAAGAAAAAGTTACCATTCTCAAAAAAAAAAAGCACTAACAAAAGTTATGTGTTTGATTACGAAAGAAGCATGCTTGACTCGAGATAATCTGCAAAGAAGAGGAATACATGTAACAAATAGATGCTACATGTGTTGTGTTAGAGTGGGTAAAAGCCCCACATTGGTTGGGGAATGGACTGGTGATCTCTTTATATGGACTTGGGCAATTCTCCCCTCTTGAGCTAGCTTTTGAGGTTGAGTTAGGCCCAGGTGCCATATCTTCACGTGGTATGAGAGCATTGGTGAGAACAAACAAGTCCCTGTTGGTCAATTTCCGGTGGCTGTTGGGTCTGATTTGTGTCAATTATTTTTAATTTTTCTTTCTATGGCTGTTGCGCGAAAACCAACCCCACCACGAGGCTCGGAAAGCTCCCGCAACCAAACCGCAGCCAGAATCACCGGAAAATCTCACCCCACGCGCCGATAGAAGGTGGCAGTTTCCAGCGAGATCTAGCTCACGCGCCGGCGCGTGAGGGCTGTTCCGATCAATTTTTTTGAGAAATTTTTTGTCTGTTGAAGTCATCCATCCATTCCAACCAGTTCCGACCAGACGCCTAAATCAGTCAACCACCTTTTTCTACATTGCCCTACAACTTCTTTGATCTAATAGATATCCCTTAATTTTTTGGGTATGAGATGGAGCATGCCAAAAACAGCTGCTTAATTTCTGTCATACTGGAAGAGGAAAGGATTGTCTAAGAACCTGAAAGACTTGGGACACCATACCTGTCTGTACAGTATATGGTGGTGTATCTGGAACGAGAGAAATATAAGACGTTTTGAAGGACAAGAAAATTCTGTTTTAAAAGTTAGATCTGATTGCATCATGATGTTGTCATTTTGGTGTCAATTGGAGCTGGTTTGTGATGCTGAATCCCTATTGTAGCTCATATAAGCTTTTGTATCGACAATTCGGGTTCTCCTTTTCTTTTATCCTTCTTTCTTTTTGGATTACAGCACCTTAGAGCTGGTGGTTTTTACATTAATAGTAATTACCTGGTAAGAAACGGTCATGGTATTTTGGGATAGATAAAAGTAGGAATGGTGTGAGATTATTGTAGAACCAAGACCTAAAGATATGGTTGTAGAAGTAAAATGGGTTTGGGATATGATTATTGCATCAAGACTTGTATGAGAAAGGAGATAATCGAAGTTATTAGTGCATGTACTCTGCAAATAGGATAAGATGCAGAAGCTAAAGCCATGTTTTGGCAGGATATGGACACTTGATTCAAGGGATTCTAGGATTCCAACATATCTTTGTAGGGAGGATATCTAAATGATGATGTATGTAAAGATAGCACGGTTTCATCAAACAATTACAAGACCTGCAATATTATGCGGTAGTGAAGGTTGGGTCACTTATATCCAACAAATCCAGAAGATAGAGTGTTATAGAGATGGGGATGCTAAGATGGAGGTACGATCATATAAAATTAGAGTTGATTAAAATGACCACATTCTCCTAAAGGTCGCTTGAGATGGCTTGGTCACATCTTGTATTGACCTACAGATGCGCCGATCCAGAAGCATGATACTATGGTGAGTGAAAAAGTTAAAGGGGATGAGGCAGACCTAAAATCACATGAAGAACGTTGTTTCGAAAGACCTACAGTTTCTGGAGTTCAATGTAGACTTAGCTAAAAATAGGAAACAATGAAAGAATCCATACAGGATTTAGAAGTGAATAGGATTTAGAGGTTGTTTGGGAGGGATTAAAAGCTGGTAAAACCTGCTTTAAGCACTTCTTAACTTAATTTGGTGTTTGCTTTACATGTAAAATGTTTTTTAAGTTAGGTGTTCCTAAGCCAAAATAAGCTAAAAGTTGTAAGTTGGTCACCCTCAACTTATTAGTACTTTTTTACTTAACAACTTTTCTAGTTTGACCAAAAGACTTACTTGTTCCTTGTATATTTTATCAACTCCAAATACCCTCCCCTTATAGAAGCCCTATGTAGGACTCTTTTAATTCAGAGTTCTTGAGTCATCTTTCTCCAGGAGTCTTTCTTTAAGAGATTTTCTCAAGAGAAAATAACTTTCTTTAATTTATATATGATTTTTTTTTGTAGTATTGGAATATATTTTTTTATATACAAACTTGAGTCAAATTACAACATAATAGTTATTTAAATAAAATAACTTATATTTATTCATAGTAATCTCATCAAAGCAATTTATAACTTAAAAGTGAATTGAGACAAAAATTAATTTATTTTTGAGTTAATTTAAAGTTAAAAGAGTTGAAATGACAAGCTTATTTTTACTTTAAACAAATTTAAGGGTATTTCAGTCAATTAAGTAGAAAAGAGCTTTTCAGCCCTTCTTTACCAAACACATCAATTGCTTCTTTTCAGCTCCAACACTTAAAAATTGCTTTTAAGCTCTTATTACTTAATAATTACTTAAATTCAGCTAACTCAAACGGGCTCTTAGTCTTGTTAGAGTACTTTTAGGGCCTGTTTGGAAGGACACCCGGGTAATTGGATTTGGTGTAATTGGTGTAATTACACTGTCTTGTCCTGTTTGGAAAGACAATTAATTACTTGGTCAGCAGGTAATTGGTGTAATTGGCAGGGGGTAATTACACTCTACAATTCACAGGCTCTGCCTGTGAATTGCTGGTAATTACATGGTGTAATTGCCACCTGATTACTTTTTAATTTCTTTTTTTTTTCTACTTTTATTTTTTTGTTTTAATTTTTTTTACTTCTATTATGTTAAGTTCTTTTTTTATTTTTATTATTCAAAAAATTTGTAAAAGTTTATTTTTATTTTATATTATTATATTTCATTTTCTTCTTGTTTCTCTACCTTACTTTACGTGATTCTATGTAATTTTCTCGTATTATCTATTTCTTTATGCCATGCTTATTTTCTCATTAGCATAATTTTATTAGAATTCTAATTTTTAAATTAAAATAGAATTTATTGTTAAGTAAGGTTATAGACTTGCGTTTTCTTTATTAAGAAAAAATAAAAATAAATCATATTTATTGCTATGTTGAAATTTGTTATAAGAGTATTATGTTAAATTTTTTGTTTTGAATTTATAACTTATGTTATATTTTCAGTTTCATTTGTTTTAGTAATATTGAATTTACATTGCACGTCATTTTTTAATTAGACTTGAACATTTAATAATTTATGACATTTTATTTATATATTATTCTTTTTATCAAACATGCATTTCACGATATTCGTAGAAACTTTATACTTTTAGTTGTTATGATCAATTCAATTGAAATATATTAATTTTAAAAAATATAAATCAATTATTTTTTCATAATATTAGTTACAGAAAATATGTTTATTAATTAATATATTTTCAAAAAAGAATATATATATCTTAAATATTTAATTTAATGTCATTTATAAAGTTTCTTATTTGTCTAGTATAAATTTTAAATAATTAATTTTTATTTTTAAAATTTATTATAATTTTATAATTGCAATTGTGCATCCAAACAGAACATGTTACACTGTGGCATCCAAACAGGACATGTGTAATTACAGTGTAATTACACTGTGACAACCAAACATGTCAGTGTAATTACTAGGCTAGTAATTACTACCCTAGTAATTACACCAATTCCAATTACCAAGTGGCTTTCCAAACAAACCCTTAATATTATTATGGATATAACATATGGTATGGTGATGACATGAATTTAGCTTAAATGCTGATTTGAAGTTTCATATAGACAACCTCGGCTTGTTTGGAATTGAGGTGTAGTTATTGTTATCATAATTTTAGTTGGGAATATGGTCAAGTTGATCGCCGAAAGAAAATAGGGATAATGGAGGGATAAGTTGTTTACCTAACGGGTTTGATACATCATAAAAGAAAATCACGCAGACCTCTGCAGTAAAAGGGCTAGGGAAGGGTTAGATGATATCGTCTCTATCGCTACCTTGCATTTTTTGAAGAGGTTATTTCCACTGCTTGAACCCTTGACCTCCTAGTCACATTATTTTGTTAGAAAAGGGGGACACATTTTCAATTTCCTTTTGATATGTTCATAACAACTTTTCCTATACCAAAGAATAAATTGAATTAACTAAATGTGAACACAATTTCTTATAATTTTACTATTGTTGTTTGTTCATTTTTTCTGCTTGTCTAATCGTTTGAAGTCAAATGATATGCTGCGTCTCTATCCTCAATGATCAAGTTTACACGCAAAACAGAAAAAAAGAAATGAACAATGAAATAATTATTTGATTTAATGGGAATACTTATTGGGGCATATGGAAAATTGCCTTGATATTGTTACATTTCACTTAGTTGTGCAGGTGCTTCGACATCAAAGAGTAAGGTGGGGGATAGACCTCCAAATATGGATGTTTTTCAGCAAAGACAAAATAACATTGGACAACTTTCTCATGTCAATGGAACTGCATTGGCTATTGTGGACACTAATACCTCTAAAGGTTAGAATGACACATTCATCTTCTTTTCAATTTTTTCTTGGATAGAATGTGGATTTTATTTCTAAGCACCAAGAATGTGCTAATATGACATCTCAACTAACTCCAAATGCAAATACAAATGATGCCACAAGGGCGGGTACGCCACACCATTCGGGCTCACTATAGTGGTTTGATCTCAATCTTGTGCACGGAATCACGTTGTGTGTGTCAAGTAAAACCTATGAATACCCTCCCGTCGCTATCTTTTATTCTCGTTTAACACAATTATATATACCATTTAGCTCATAAGAAATCAAGTAAAAATACTTGTGATAACACAAAATGTTATGGAACTCAACTTGGAGTGACATGAATACCTTTAAGCTTAAACAATTAATCAAGTAGGTGGCACACATAAAATATGAAAGTTTTACGTTCGTACTTCAAGTGAACTAACTTGACCTTTGTATGAGAAACACATGACATAGGTGGTGCCTTAAATGCGATGGGAGTTTTAGTTTCACATACCTTTAGTACCTTCCTAGCTATCGCGGATCACCAATAACTAAACTCACATAGATGCAGCCTCACATAGCCAACCACTCGCTTCCACCACTTAATTGCAGCCAATCAATCCAATGCAATGCACTACAAAATAATATATATACATGTTCATCAATAACCCGTAGGTTCATCAATAGATTCATTCCAATATTTTCCACTTATACCCAAACTAATCCAATTCTTTTACAATCATTTGGAGTGAATTCCTAGTTTATTTTTCCAACTTATAAGGTACAATATTAATTCTGCCCATAAGTAGAAACACTCAAAAATTCCACCTTTATCAATAATTCACTATTCATCTTGTTCCCTTTTCAAGAACCCTAGTTCATCACCAAAACCTAATTCGAAAGCTAGTGCAAAAATTCCAATTAAATGGTGATTTCCATTTTACACTACATCCCAAATAGGTATTCTATAATTATATTCAAGTGCGGGGTAGAGAATCTACCTATTTGAAGTCAACCCAACTTGAGTTCTTGAAGAATCTCCACAATTCTTGAACAAAAATTGATAGTTGTCTAACAATTTAGGATCATTATGTGCTACTCCGAAAAATAATTCTTGTTTCCTGGTTAATACCACCTCGCTGCAGCCACTGATGTGCGAAGGCAGTTGGCACTTTGATATCCCTGGAAAATTCCAAGAAAAATTCTTGGTGTTTCTTCAACTAAGCCTTCTAAAGAAAGAATTAGAGGGTGACCCCACTTAACCCAAATACCAATTAATGACAAGCGTAAGAAATGAACCCTTAACCCTTCTTTTTTCTTTCTTTTACTTAGCTGACAGCAGCTATACATATATATATATATATATATATATATATGCTACAATTTTCCCTAAGATATGCACACTCTATCTAAAGCATATAATTATTATACCAATACATCAAGTGCTCCATTTAACTTGGTAGCGAGTAGCGCGTCGTTTCCCTTTCCGAATATTATTTGTAACTCTTCGCGAGAAATTCTTAAATACCAAATAATTATGGCACACTCAAAAATCCTTAATTTGGTATATAGTGCACCACGTAACCCTTTATAGCTTAAGAGTTATATACTTGTATACTCAAAGTAATAAACTTAATTCCGATTCCGAGATTCTACACAGTAACTTTACTGGCTAAGCAATTTATTTTATTTGTGTGATTGTGTTGGTTGTCCATGATGCATTCTGTATATATTTTGCGAATGGAGCATATATATTTTCAATGTCTTAAAAATTGAGCTACCAGGAACTTAAAGAAGGAACAAGATGAAAATTTTAAAAAGAAGACTACATTCCTGCTTCTCCATCATACTAGTAGGACAATGACAATTGCTTGGCTTGTGACCTTGAAGGTTTTGGATCTAGTTGTCACCCCTCAAACCTAGGCCTGGGCGGACTGACGCTCGATTCCTTAACCTAACTTAGAGAACCCTTTTATATGAACATGAAGATACAACATTTATATGATATCACGTCAAAAAGCGGAATAGTAGGCATGAGTCACATAAGAACAACTCTCTGTCAAGGAGTGCAAAGGTAATTTAAAGTCTTCTTCTCATTCAAAAACATAAGATCTCCTTTGATAATAACAAAGATGTGAAACCATATTTAAGACAAATTGAGCTGATTTCAAAACATATGCATGACTTAAATACTCTATTTTATGAAGATAGAAATACTAGATTGGCAGGTTCTACAAGTTCAACATAGCTCAATTTTTTCTGATACAATGTTATGGTTTTAATAATGAAGCATAGAAAGAGAATTTAATCTGCTCATCTATCAAGTGATGTCTGAAGTAGTTTCTGTTGGTTTCTATACCATGCATCTGGTGAGATATTTAAGATGTTACATATGGTATGAATCCAGGACTCACATGGTATAAGTAGAATTTTCTTTCTTCTGTTGCTTTATATTTAGTTAGAATATCAAGCTCATCATTATTTACACTAATTTCTGTAATCATAACTTGGATGGTGGTATTAATCTAATTGGATTCATTCCATCAAGGAAGAGAAAATAGATATTAAGGTTAACAATGATGGCATTCAGTGGTACTTTCCTTTAATCTTAACTTTGATGGTGGTATTAACTATTTTATTCACCATCAATGAAGAGATAATAGAAATGAAAGTAAGCAGGGTTGACATTCAGTAGGTCAGTGGTACCTTGTGTTGAATTGGAGCTTTTTCTTTGGCGTTGTTGTTGAGTATAGTATTCAACACTGCATGGTTCTAAACAGCAGAAAAGGTGTAAATTAGTGATTTATTAAGGGATAAATAATAATGGTGGTATTAATTCATTAATTCCTTAATTGGATTCAACCAACCCATTAGAGTTCAGATCTGAGAAAGTATAATAAATTATACCTTAGCTCAGCTCCTTTAGGTGACTTCTGAAATTGCTCCGCAAAATTTCAGTTCAAGTTCAAGAGCCATTGTTTCTAGTAGCAAGTGACGAATTATCATGTTGAAGTGGGGATCTAGAAGCCTAGTAGAAGTAACTGTGGAGAAGGGTTACAGCTCGAACATCCAGTTATCTAGTTTCAAAGTTTCGATTAGAGGTGTTTTCAACCTATTTAAGGTTCAGCGCACTGAAAATCATACAATGAAAAAGAATAATTTGGTAACAATGCTGAAATTACCTGATCTCTAAGCTTGATGATGGCTGAAGATGAATATTGGAGGAATCTCTATAGACATTTCCACTTCCCTTCTCGAGATCTTTCCAATTTGTGTTGGCTACAATTTATGTGTTCTATATTTTGTTGGTTTTCTTAGTCATTCTGGGCCATTTCTTTTGGCCTATTCTTTTGTATATATTATTGTTTTATTAATAAAAGTTTGCCATGGCCCATTTGGTTTTAAAAAAAACTACTATAGGACTAGCTGAAATCTGATCATGCACTGAATCATGGTCAGTAGAAAGTCCAACAAGTGTAAGAACTAAAAACAATGTCTGCCTATGTTCATGTTGTTTTTCCACGTTCGTAGTGACTGATTAACATGTCTGGAATAGGCGAAACAAGGCCATCAACTTGGAATCAATAGATCGCCATAGGAGGCTACACAATTGAGCATCAACCTTCTCCTATTCTACTTTGATTTTTGCATCTTCCTCACTAACCTTAGCCTTTTCATCTATCACACAAGCATTGTTTGTTAAGTGGTTTTGGACTTCTCAACCCTTGCACCACAACTCAATTGTGGAAGCCCAAGGTAAATATTTTGAGCTTCCCATTAATGGTTCTAAAGTGATCATAGGGCTTGAACTTCCAATTCCTGTATTTTTGGAGCCAAAAATATCTATTCGGGAAAAACATCTTGTGAAATCAGATTTTTGTAGCCAATAATCTGGAAATACGTGCCGGAATCGGTAAAAAAAAGTCCCTGCAATTTGAAAAAAAAAGATTGTCGGAAATCAGAAAGAAATAGGGTTGTTGCTGGAAAATTAGATCTGATCGCCAAGAATTGGTCGGAACCAGGAAATAATTATATGGACAGCTTCAGAATGAAGTGGCGACTCCACTGGAAAAAGAAAGCTGCTGAAAAATGATGCACACGCCTGCCATGGATATGATGAGCTCGTCGGTGTATTGCTTCTGGCGGCGTGTAAGGGCGTATATGTGACACTAGTTTCTGGCTAGTCTAACTAGAGTTTGGTTGTCGGGGAATTCCAAACCTAGTGGTGGCGTTAGTTTTCGAAAATCACTAAAAGAAAATGCTATTTACTTAGACAGCCGCTTAGATCACCAGGAAGCTACAGAGGGATAGCTGGATTCATTGAAACGATTCATATCGATACTTTTCTCTCAATTGCTCTGATAGACTGATACCATGTAAGAAATTATAGGAGAAAAATATTATTGAATTGTATCTCTACATTATTACATTGACTTATTTATAGACAATATTACAATCCTTTTTCAAGTAGGATTCTATATACTATTCTTGTTCCTATTTAAACTCTAACAAGGAGTACTTATCTTTGAGTTCATAAGGCATCAAGGGTTGTCAATGTTACCTATCATATTATCAATACATAGAGTACGTGGGGTCCTATTAGGATTCCCTAAGCTTCAAGACCTTAGTTTGTTAGGAATACATGACATCGGGGTACATATCAAAGTAAACTGTATACATGAGGGGTGCATGACATAAAGGATAACTAGCACTTCACACTTACGGGTACACATACATGAGGACTACATTCGAGGAGAGTACATATCATTTGAGGACACTAAACATGTAGAGAAATGTTCATTTAGAGCTTTAGGGTGATATAGCATTTCATGGTTGAAGCATACATGGAGCATGTCATTTACTAAAAGGATGTATCGATTTAAGAGATATAACATCGAGAAGAACAAAGGAAATTCCCACATTGAGAGGAGCCATTACATACCTCAGCCCGACCTTAGTAAAACGACCAACTACTCCATTACGACCTTAATCTACAAGACTAATAATGATAGGGAGCTAGAATTAGCGAAGACATTCATAACTACGTTACTTTTTCAATTATCAAACACATGTGAGTAAAAGCCCTTCATCAATGGTGTACCAACAGCCAACCTACTCCTTGGTAGTGACAACATAAAAACTTCCCTCCGAGTCTGAGGTGACCCATAACCATCCAGGCAGTAACACCACAAGAACACCTCAAAACAAATCCCCATTCTCATAAAGCTAGCAACAATTTAAGTCATGGCTTCCGATCACCACCCCATGAGTCCCATTGCTAAAACATTCTTATAACATCAGGAACCATCCATGCATAAACTCTGAAAAGGAGGCGTACCTTGAAAGATGAAGAGAAACCCCAAAAATCATCCCTTGAGCCCCAAGTGAAGAAACCCCTATGAATCTCTAGAATCCGAAGAAAAATTGATGTTAAAATCACGTATTAGGTGAAGAATGGCTAAGATACTATGGGAAGAAATTACCCTGGTGTTGTAGAACTTGGAAGAGAGAATAAGAGTGAAGAATAGCTTTGGGTCGCCCAAAAATGAAGGGAAATGAAGTGAAGATCGAGTTTTAAAACATCTGGACGAGCCTTGATGCAGAGCTAAATGCTGGCTGCATATGGGAACTTTTGGTCGCATCTATACTGCACATAAAAACAGGACTGTAAATTTTGGGCCAGATGCGACCAACTTGCGGTCGCATATGCCTTCACATATGGGCTAATGCGGTTGCATATCTACTCAGCGTACTGCTCTGCAGTCCTTCAGTTGAAAGATCTTTAATTTTTTGCTCCAACTTGGATTGAAAAATGGTTTGATGTGCTGGAAAGAAGACTTAGAGCTTTAATTTGATAAGTAGACCTCCCTCTAATTCCTTGTAGATTGGGAGACACACCCGTTTGAAGTCAGACCACGTATGAGATGATTTGAAACAATTGACCGCAATGTAACCTTCAACTTGGACTTTTGTGCTAAGCTTCCCCTTGACCTCTTATCTTATTTTAACCCTTCAAATACCTCATATATTGGTTCCTTGATATATTTAGCCACTTTCCATCTTATTCTCCCGAGGTTGAACAAATTCATCTGCGTCAATTAGTAGTTCTTTGGCATGGAGATACCGGGTGTTATAGTAGTATTGGTTCTAAGCTTTTGTCTCATGGCATAAAAGTTGTTGATTATTTGCATTGCTGTGTTGTATCTTTCTATCTATTTTCTCTTCTTTTGTCTCTATTTCATATTGCTTTTGTTTATTATTAGTGTAGCAGTTGTATATCATTTCACCTCATTCTTAAAAATCTTCAAGCTGACTACATGTCCCTTCAAAACTGACGTAAATCTCTCTGAGAAGAAAAGCATATACCTATAATTGGGAGTGAAAGCATTAATTCTTTAGAACAGGTGGTAAATGGATCTTTTTCCTTCTGGATTTGATGAGGTTACTTCATCGGTACCTTGGATAAAGCACCTGTAAGCAGTTGAGATTTGAGATATACAGCCTAAACTAGGAAATGAATTGTGGAAATGTCGCTTACTTCTAGTTCAGATTAGTAGAAGGTTCAACCCATCTGCCAACTAGACCAGTATAAGTTTTTAAATGTATATCAGTACATGGTTGATCGTTGGACCTTCCTATCCAGTACAATAGTGTTCTGAGTTTCTCTCTGTGAGAGTCCATTATTTGTAACCATTAGCTTTAGTTGATCTTAGATGAGGCCTCTTGGCAGTTCCCTTCAGATGTTCCTTCCTTCTGTTGTGCTTTATAGGATATTTTGTTCTTCTTGGTGAACTTAACTACTCACTCCACACTTGTTATAGTTCATCTTCTTATAAAAATGAGAGTTGGCATGTTGGGGGAATCTATATTTTGAGAAAGGTAACGTTGTACTAATCAACAGTACAAAGGTTGTGCTGGTACAATTTACGGATTCCAAAAAGTTAGATATATCCTTGTTCGTCTTACAAGGATTCTATGATGTCTGAAGAGTTAGCATCCTTTGGTCCAACATGCTGGAATAGAGAAGGAAATATGTCCGGCCACAAAGAGAGATGGAAGATTGTCCTTGTTTGCATCTGGTGGACAATATGGAGGGAAAGGAACCAAAGATGTTTTGAAATCAAGAGCATCCCTTTCCAAAGTCTGAAGTTGAATTGTCTTATAACCTTTTATTTTTTGTGTAACTATGTACTCCCCAAAAAGGTGGAGGATATTACTCAGTTTCTAGATAGTTTAGGAGGGATATACGTGATAGATTTCTTTGGTTTTGCTTACTGTAAACTCCTGATGTAACTACTACTAAAATACACTATTGGTGTATGTTGTCTATAAAATGTTAACTTTCTCAAAAAAAAGAAAAGAGTTAGCATCCTACACAACAACATACCCAGTGTAATCCCACAAGTGAGTTAGCATCCTGCACATAACTTCCTTTACACCAATAATGAAATAACAGTTAGCAGCTCATCTTGTTCTTCTGAATTGAGCTGTATCTTCCTTCAAAATACCTGCCATTCCTTTCTCTCCATTAGGTCCACCATATACAAGCTAGGATCATCTTCCACCATTTCAATCCGGCACCTAAAAATATCAGTTGTAGAACTAGGCATATCCCATCTTAGTCCAACCATGTTCAGGAATAGTTGCCATAGCAGAACAGTGAGTCCACAGTGAAAAAATAAGTGGCTGTTATATTCTGCTTCAGTATAACAAAGGTAACACAACTCATCTGAAAGCCCATTTTCCGGGTTAAACAATCTTATCTAGCTACCAACGAAGTAAAGCAAGCACTTTGAAAAGAATCTTAACTGTGGGGGGAATCTAGCAGGTGATTATATTCTGTGAATGTTTACAGAGCTTCAAATTCATGAAAGAAAATTACTACTGAAGCAGTTCCGTACAAGGATAGAATTATAAGAAAGATGCTTTGACCTTATCGCAGATAAACAGTAATTGATATGCTTGGACGCAGTGTGCGAAATTGTTGAAGTATTTCATATTTCTTGGAGACTTCATTTCTAGAGTGTGAATAATTCAGATTACAGACTTCTTGATATTTCTAATCAGCTAATCCTTTCAAGACAAGTTTCTGATTCTTTACAATTTTGTCCATGTTGCAGGCATGCTTCATTTGTACAAGAGTCGATTACAACACTATGCCCAGAAGCAAAATCTCACTTTACCCGTGTATTCTTCTGAACTTGATGGCCCTCCTCATGCCCGTTGTTTTAGGTCAAAAGTGACCGTTGACGGGGTAACTTATGAAACTCAGGAGTTCTTCTCTACATTGAAGGAAGCTGAACATGCAGCTGCAAAGGTTGCTTTTGAGTCCTTAGCACTTAATGACACTCAGGAGGTTAGTACTCCCTTTGTTCCTGTTAATGTAACAGTCTTTCCTTTTTGGACTTTCCGAATGTTTGATCCATTCTATTTCTATACAACTTCCGTACTTCAAAAACTCAAATTTTGTCAACTGCCCAAATCTTTGAACTTCCATGTGGTATTTTCTCTATCAAATTGACTTTTCATCCACTGTTTTAAGACTTTCTTCTTCTATTCACTAATATAATGTGCAAGTCAATTTAGCACATTAAACATCATGTCTCGTTCAAACACCATCAAGTAAAACGGGAAGGAGGGAATATTTAAATAATTTTAGTTTTACTTCGGTGCTGAGAGATCATTCATGTGAGTACATTTCATTGTTCTTCTATGTATTTATTTAATTATTTTTGAATAACATCAGGATGAAGGTTTGTACAAGACACTTCTGCAAGAACTGGCTCAAAAAGAGGCTTTACTTTTTCCAGTTTATGATACAGCCAGAACTGGCCCACCTCATGCACCAGTATTCCGCTCAATGGTGGAAGTTGGAGATGGGACTTTTCAAGGACAAGAAGCTAAAACCAAGAAACAAGCAGAGATGAATGCTGCAAAGGTTGCTTACAATGCCCTTGTGAAACGTAAGGAGGATATACACTTAGTATCATAATTTGCAAGTTTTCTGAATTAAAATTACTTTGATCGGGGTACAAGGGCAAATTACATGGAATTTTATTTAGATAAGAAAAATGATATTTTTAAAAGACAATATAAAACTAAGCAGGAGGACATGGTGTTTCCAACTAATGAAATTAATAAACTAAAGAACAAGGAAAACTTTGCACATCAATGCTGTTGGAGTTTCATTACAGCCGGTTATGTTAGGACCGAAATAATTTGGTGTCATGCGGAAGCTAACAAAGCAAACTTCGAAAGACCACGAGTAAGAAGACAAATGAGAAATATACCAAAAGACACAGATTTTACGTGGTTCGGTCAATTGACCTACGCCCACAAAAGAGATGGGCAATCCACTATATAAATATGAGAGCACAAAATATAGAGAGAAATAACATCAACCAATTCACTCAAAATATAAGGAGGTTCACACAAGTGATAATGTATCACTTGTTTCCCACAAATTCTCCCCTCTAACCAAAACTCTCAAAGCCCCTAGGACAACATTGTGAATGCTGATTAAGTTAGAAATTTGTGGAGTCCTAAACCTTTTCCTACAAGAAAATGACTAGCCAAATATGGTGATTTTTTGATTTCCTTTTAGGAAAAGAAAAATCTATTTATGGTAAAAAAAACTCAGGGCAAATACCCCACAGGTTAAACAAAAATCAAATTACAATAAATAGTTCAAGAAGCTATATCTACACCTAGGGCACCTAGGTGCTTTCATGACTTTCTAATTTTCTACGGAATACATTAAAATCTAAGTGTAACTGAAATGTTGTGTAGACCTAACAGTATTTCCAGTATCTTATTGGTTCACATATAAAAATTTGCTGCTTCCTGTGTAGCTTTTATGTTGTGAACATAAAAGTTTAGTATCTGGTGGAATTACATTGCCATCTCCTTTCAGGTAAAACTAGTCAATCTTAATGTCCAAAAGATGATAAGGCCAATGGCAGACAACAACCGTGGATAGAAAAAGACGGACATGATATATTAGCCACCAGAGGAAGTATCACTGTAACTAAGCCCAAATATTTGAGTATACCCCTTTGCAACAAGGTGAGCCTTAAGCTGATCAACTTGCGCCATCCACACCAATTTTTACCACATAAATCCAATGACAACCAGCAATAGATTTACCTTAAGGATGAGAAACACGCTCCCAAGTACCACTGGCATCTAAAGCAGATATCTCATCAATCATAGCTTGTCACTGTTCTAGATGAGGAATTATTTCACTTGTAGACTTGGGGGGATGGAAACACATGACAAAGATGATAAAAAGGCATGATGGAACTATGACAACTTAAAAAGGTATAATGGGGGTTAGTATTATGAGGGGATCGTATACCTTTTCAAAGGGCAATCAGTTGACTAGGGGGAGACAAATCCTTAGTAGATGCATGGTCTCATGCAGGACGTGAATCATCTAAGCTTAATGTTGGACGTAAGCAATGATGGTCAATCAAGAGTGGTGATATTGTGGCTGGAGATGTAAAGTGATAATAGATTCCTCAAAAGTTGGTATAGGTAAGACATGTGAGATATCATGAAGATGTAATGTAAGGTCGAGACTTAGAAATGTGACATCAACTGATACCCTTTCTGAACTACGAACCAAGAAATACACATTTGAGAGCATGATGGGGTAATTTATCTTTTCCAAGGGCTAAATTATTAACAAAATACGTGCTCCCAAAAACACAAGAGGGAAGAGAGTATAAAGTTGACTAAGGAAACATTACTGAATAAGGAACCTGATTCTAAATGGAAGATGAGGGCATTTGATAAATCAAGTAGCAAGATGTGAGAACTGCATTGCCCCAAAAACGGAACAGAACATAGAATCAGATGAGAAAAGTGGGAGCAGTCTCAAAGAGGTGTCTATTCTTTCTCAATACTACCCCATTTTGCTGAGGATGTACAAACAAAATGGCGGATGAATCCTTGGGTGAGTCATAAACGGCTGAAACTGGAGGATATATATTTCAAGGCATTGTGGTAGAAACTAAGATGAAAATGATACTTTACTCGTTAAATAAAGTTGAAGAATCTTATACACTGCATTAACCAATAACTATGTCCGAATTGAGTGGACAAATCTCAAGATACAAAGGCAATATTAATATTTTTCTTAGTCAGAATTCTCCTAAATATATATATTTATACTAAACATAAAGATAACTCCTAATAGATAGAGATAGAAACAATAACTACTATAGATAATTACTGCTTATATATTTTATCCTTTTTAAAACAAAGAAACTAAGATAGATTATCTCCTCATGCTCGTCTAGATTTTATTCTAGAGTAAGTCCGTAAAGGAGCATTCATATCAGTGCATCCCTCTTCAAAAGTTGCCTTGTCCTCAAGGCGAAAAGAAGGAAACAAATTTCTTGGGTAGGGTCGCATGAGGTTTCCGGTCCTCTTAGTGGTACATGTATATGCACAATACCCTTGTAGAGAGGTACCTCGAAACAACGATGTTAGTTACCAGAAATTCTTTGTCTTCTAATTACTGTCTCACTAATTGCTCTGACACCGTGTGAGAAACAAAAGAGTTTGAGTCATTACTCAATTGTTGGGGTTTTTCGTATTATTTTGTTGTAAAACTGCTTTGTTACTATCTATTTTCTCTTTTACTTCTGTTCTATCTTTTTCTAGACTATTATTGTCTTGAGCCGGGGGTCTATCGGAAACAACCTCTCTACCTTACTTCTAAGGTAGAGGTAAGACTTGCGTACACTCTACCCTCCTCAAGACCCACTGTGTGGGACTACACTGGGTATGTTGTTGTTGTAGCTATTGGGGTTTAAATAACCATACCATGTTGTAAAAAAGAAAAGAAATCAATACCTAGTTACAAATTACAATAGGAGTAAATTAAGTTACCTACTATATTTACTTATTTTCTAAATATTCGCAAAGATTCTAACAATTAGCATAAATTTATGGATTGCCCCTCCCCCCCAAGGAAAAGTTTAATATGAAGGCAAGGAGAATCAACAGAATTCAACCGACTCACCCTATACATTCAGGAGACTATGGATTCTGCTATTTTCTGTAGAGAATTACACAGAAGCCTTTTCCAGTTGAAACTTTGTGGACATTTATAGAGATATTGATTGTTGGTAAGAAGAAAACCTATAAATGGGGTGGTTGCATGTCTCACTTAATGCATAACTTGCAATAGCTCCACCAGTTGGAATTAAATGGATATAGCTAAGATCTCAAAAAGTTGCATAGGACCAACACACACACACATATATACACACACACACATATAGGGATGTTGCGTGTTCCTTTTGTTTCCTTCTGTAGGATCAATAAGATTGTTTTTTTGAGTTACATGTTCTCTTGATTCCCATGCACTATTCCATAGTTTCCACTGTCGGACAGTTTCTCTATCTTCTCCTATCCATCAGAGCATTCACACTTTCAATCTCTAAATCATTTCTGACCTGAGATGTGTTGGCTATAGCCTTACTATTCCGTTATGTACTTCATCGTATTGCAGATCCGTGAATAATTAATTGAATTTATTGACTGTTTCCTTTCTGATCAGTTAAATACACCAAAAGTTCCATCACTGCCTCTTCATTATTAGTTTGATCTAGTCTGTGCCCATGAGCTGCCACTTGTTGAACTTGGCTACATCTGCATGAATAAATATGTGATAATGTCGTTTTGTTTGGAAATTATGTGAACAAGATACTAATTGCTTTTACATCATTATATGAGATTAGTATTTTTTTTCAATCCCTTTGTTTACTTTTGCAATATTGTACAATAAGATTGTTGAACTTCAAGAAAAATGATAGTTGCATCATTTTTAACTCTTACAAAGTGGGGTCAGTACTTGCATCATCAACCATTTCCAGGTGTACAATAAGATTGTTGAGCTTCAAGAAAAATGATACTCCCTTTGTCCAACAATACTTGTCCACTATTGACTTTGCACACTTCTTAAGAAACTATAAATAGAAGGTAATTTCACTGTATCACCCTTTGAGTATAATAAATATAATGTCTTGAAGAATATAATAGGGAAATAACTATAATTAATCATAAGGGTAAATTAGGAACTAAGTGTAAAATTATCCATTGATTTCATAAAGTGGACAAGTATTGTTGGACATTCCAAAATAGTATAGTGAACAACGATTGTTGGACGGAGGGAGTAGTTGCATCACGTAACTCTTACTCGGAGTAGCTTTGAGATACGATAAAAGAAAAGAAAAACACTTACCTAGATGATTGATAACTATTAAGAGATATTTCTTTAATTATTACTTAAAGCTTATCCAAACCCCACTTTGTGGGATTTCACTGGGAATGTTGTTGTATTAGTTAAAGCTCATTTTTTCAATAAGCAAAATATTTTCTCTCTTCAAATCCAAGAATTTTTTGTTGAGAATGACCACACATTGTCCTAGTTTAATCAGCAAATATTGAAATACCATTGTTATTTATATTTTGTGGTTCTGGAGAGACTAAAGTTGTAGAATGCTATGTTTATAGTACTTCTCAAAAAATTACTAGTTGTCTACAGCAACATACCCTGTGTAATTCCACAAGTGGTCTGGGAAGGGTGTGTTATGTAAATGCAGACCTTACCCCTATCTTGGGAGAAAAGGAGGCTATTTCGGATTAACCCTGGGCTCAAGTAAAAGCATTACTAGGAAGTTCGGGAAAAGAGAACAACAGCAAAAAGATACTAAGTTGACTATGAAAGTATAAACAACCTCAGTGCTGGCCATTTGTATCGGGAGAAATATGGCTACTATCCATCTTTTTTTTTTTCCATACAAGTAGGAGCATTAGAGAGTTGGTGAATCAATTTTATTTTAGAAGTAATCCATAAGTATAGAAACCGATGTTTCTGAGGTGATTTCCTTCTAATCAACTTATCATTTCATTGGAACATCTTTGGCTTATCACATAAAAGGTATATTTTCCCACTTCACAATTCAGTTATACGACATTTTTCAAATATTTATGCTCAAATATCAGATGAATTATTCAGTCTTTTAAGTTTTTTTGATGAAACCACTTCAACCTAAAGAAAATATCTTATGTTTCTGTTCGAAACCAACATTATTAACCTTGAAGGGTTGGGTTCATTGGCAAGTTCCAAGTCACGTGTACAATTTCATACTTTTGTGTTACAGGTGGTCAACTAGATGAACCTCTTCATGTCCTTCCAGTCAGTTCAGAATGTGTTGTTGCTGATGTTTCACAACTAGTTGTTCAGCAGAAGACCAAATTGATAATTGAAGAACTAAGTTTGCAAAATGAAGGTGCTTTCTGAAGTCTGCAACCCCTTGATATCATTTTTTTTACTTGTTTTCTGCTTTTTTTGTGATATCTTTCTTTATGTGGAGGCTCTTAATTGAACTAAATATATAGGTGTCACAGGTTCAGCTGTGCCACTGTCATGTATTAAAAAGGAGAAGACATTGTTGAGATTGCTGATAGAACTAAATTGAGTATCGCTGATGTTTAAGTACTTCTTTAAGGAACAATATAATTTATTAATGCATTACCGCAAAAGTAGTCACAGAGAACAGTTTTCAGAACAGTTCAGTGGACAAAGCCAAACACTGTTTTCTAAAGTAATAGCTAATAGGTTTGATAAATGATGTGTCACACTATCAAGTTGGGAATTGCAATGTGACTCTACATCTTTTGGACCAAAATCTCTTTTGCACAATAACTTAGTGTGGTTGCATGAGGCGTTCTTTAGTAGGTTTCATATCATTGAGGTCAAGATAGTGGAATTTCTATGTATGGACCAACCAGTTTAGTTAGTTTCATCAAGTTGAAATAACATTAATCCTTTAGAACTAAAGAGTTGCGTTTCTTCCAACTCAAATCTCCTCTTGTCTTAAAGTGATGCAGATTGGTTCCGGCTTTAGTCTTTACAACTTAAACAACATGGTCATATAAGCATATTATCGACTTTGTGTTTCTTCCAATTTACACTAGCATCAGTTGTCTATTGGTATTATATAATGTGTTACTCATTATTTGACCACTTATTTTCAGAGGCAAACACAAATGCAAAAAGACACAGATGTTCGAATGCACCCAACACATATTCCCTTATCAGGGATCATCGTCCTGATGCCCCATTTGTTGCTTCAGATTCAACTGATGCAGTTGTTGAGTCTGTTGATTCTGGTACGTATGCTGGAACCAGTATTTTGCCAAGTGAGAAGATTTTCATTTTCCCCCGGAAAGCAAACATGGACCTTCCAAGTGGTGCTTCTGTTTTGCCTTGCAGCAACGAAAAATGGGTTGCTGCTAGCTTAGAGTTGAATCGAAATCACTAACTGCTGAAACCCAACTTTGTAATGCTGTTTGATGAATCTTATCTTGATGATAAAGTTCAATTCTGATAATTTTGTACTGGTACTACAATATGTGTAAAAGACATATGTGACCTATAGATACAAAAAATTAATCTATGCTATATTTTTTGAGTAAGTACTAGGTTATGCTTATTAAGAAAATTAACCTTCCGTGGTAATTATGAAAAGGAAGTCTACTGTTGGTGTACAAAGCAGGAAAAACAAGGACACAACTGGAATATCTTTTGTTAAATCTCTTTAGCCCTAATGCCCAATGTATCATTTGCTACGGGTTCAAATTGTTGCTTTTGAATCTATCATGTGCTAGATCAATTTTGGGTATCATGCACATAATTGACACACACACACACACACATATATATATATATATATATATATTACTTTAAAAGCATAAACTCCTAACTTGAATGTTAATTTACTGTAATATTCTTAATTAAGGTTGTGACTTTTTCGATGAGTTGTGACTTTTCCGATAAGTTGTAATTTTTCGATGAGTTGTGACTTTTTCAATAAGTTGTGACATTTCCAAATGGTTGTGACTTCTTGGAAAGGACATGACATTTTAGATAAGACACAAAAAAACACGTGTTCATATTACCCTTTGTTGACTATAAATAGAGGGGATTCAGATTCCTCTCATTTTTCGATCACAATTTTTTTAAAAATCTTCTACTCTTCTTCTTGCATTTTAAATTTTTTGTGTGTGATTTATTGTCGTTGAGTGAGTTCGAAGTTTAGCGAAATATGGGGCACTAATCTGATGAAGTTAATCGTTCTATCCTAAGAGGGTATAATCCATAACTTCGAGTACTTGAGGAAAATAATTTTAATTATAAAATATATATTTTTTTTGCTTAATATGTACATTAGTATGTTGTGTTCCAATATATGAAGTTAACATGATGTAGTCTAATTTCATTTGTTTTTGTTAACAATTTATCTTGTGATGTAGATATATGCTTAATATCTTTTTCCAAATTAAGAGAATTGTCATGATGTGTTTTTTTTAATGCTCAAGACAAAAGAACGACTTTATATATCAATGCTACTTATGTGATTTAGATTGTTAGGAAGTTTGCTTCAAAATAGTTATTACTATATAAACATTGCCCTTTTGTTTTACTTATTTACTATTTCTTGATATTTAAGTATTTTAGACGAAGAGAAGTTCATATGACTTGTAATAACGCAAGTTGAAGTTTGTATTAATTTAATTTTTATTATTTATTTAATAGCTAATTTTTATGAGATAAATATTTTCATTAATGCAAATATATATATTTATATTTTGGTAGGTATTTTTTTATTTAAATTAAAGTATTATATATTTCATAAATGTATTATCAAGTTAACATGATCTTCTAACTTCAAAATATATTATTTTAAAATATTTCGAGTTATTTTCTTTAAAAAAAAAACACTCACAACAAATGTGAAAATATGTGAATATATATGAATCATTTAAAACTTATCATTTACAAAATAAATTTTATATTCACTAATATGAAATAAACATTTACCTTTAGTCCCTACACTAAATTAAAATCTAATAACTAAAAAAAATAGTAACATTAATTAAAAGTCCTATTTATTTATGTACATATAAAATTTATTAGAAATTCAGCTATTGCACATTAATTCTTCAGCTATAACATTATAAATTCTCTTAGTTATTACTAATTATTGTAAACGTTATTCATACTCTTTTACATTCTTAGGTATAATATTAAGAATTTAATAGTTATTACATTAATTATAATTCTATCTTTCATCTTTCCTTATATTAACTTTTGACCAATAATTGTTCATATTATTAAATCGCCCATATATATATGTTAACATGGTGTTGTTATTTTTAATTTGATGAATCATACTTGGTTGAATAAATTGAAATAATTTCAAAGTATATGAATTATATCATTGTTGGGTGTAAGATGAACAAGTGATTATATATATGATTTCACACATAACATATATTCTTTAATTTAATTTTAAGTTTTCTCCGGAAATAAAAAAGAAAACCTTTCTCAGTTAACTATGGACAGTCAGATAACTATCTTTCATTTATGTACACAGTCAATCGAGAAGTCAAGTATGAAAGCCAACAACAAGAACGTCATTTATTATGTTATAACTTATAAAATAAAAATTAATATAAAAAATAGTCTAAAAGATAAAATGTAGTTGTTCTCTTCACATGTTCATATGACATCTAAACAGTTTAACGTGGAATACACGTGCAAAGTATATCTTGTTAGATGACAAGAAAAATACACAACAAATATAGTCTATAAGGTAATATTAGTGAGATACGACTAATTAAATGATTGAACTTCATCAAATTGAAATAAATATATACATTATTGCATTTAACTAATAAAATTTTTCATTGACGATCTTCATAGGTTCGCGTGAATAAGAGATATAAATGATGATCCACATTGATTATTCATAAAAGAATCTGCAATATGATTTTGTACAAAGCTTAGTATTCAAATCTTCCCCTAAATAAGCAATACTATTTACTATAATATATATTTTCTGAATTGATAATCACAGACAACGTACGTGTCAAAAAACTAGTATATATATATATATATATATGGGCACGTGTGACTCCCATATTATTCAATATTAACTTTTAAAAATAACACAACTAATAACAAAATGTGTGATGAATAACACAATTTTTTAAAAATACAAGCTTGAAATAAATAGGAGTTTAATCTATTTATTGTATACGTACGCCCACAAACAACTCACAAACACACAAATATAATGAGCGGAGGAAATAAAGAAAAATAAAAATATAATATTGTGATGAGAATATTATGCATGGTGAGAGGAAGCAAAAATGAATACAAATCAAACTTGCTCAAAATTAACTTGTTTCTATGCATTTATAATTATTACAAATATTTATTCAACAAAAGTAAGGAAGAGAGTTACAAGAAAATGAGTGATAAAGAGAAAAGATGGAGGAACTCACCGTCTATATATATTTATATTTTTTTCTTCAATTAATTCTTCACCTAAACAACCTATGCCCCTTGCACACTAGCAAGATAAATCATTTGACAAATCAAACAAAATTTCAGTTTCAAAAGCCTGAAATTTAATTGACATATACCTAACATATTATCTAAAGAGAACTACTTAAGATCAATAAGTTTGGAATAATTTATAAAATACGTGTTATCTTAATTGAAATAATAGAGTGCAAATCTTCCCTTAATTTTTTTGATTATTTGAAAGCATCAATTGGTGAAGCTAATGACAAGAAACAATATGGTGAAAATAGCTAATCTTTTATATCTATCTATCTATATCTTCTATTCTATCTATATTACCTTAAAAGTATGAACTCTTAACTTGAATGTTAAATTACTATAATATTCCTAACTTAGGTTGTGACTTTTTCGATGAGTTGTGACTTTTATGATAATTTGTGACTTTTTTCAAAGGGTTGTGATTTTTCGATGAGTTGTGACTTTTCCAAAGAGTTGTGACTTTTTCAAAAAGTTGTGACCTTTTTTAATAAGCTGTGACTTTTCCAAAGAGTTGTGACTTCTTGAAAAGGCCATGAATTTTCAGATAAGACACAAAAAACACTTGCTCATACTACCCTTTGTTGACTATAAATAGAGGAGTTTCCTCTCATTTTTCAACCACAATTTTTTTTAATCTTCTACTCTTCTTCTTGCATTTTAAAAAATTTAGTGTGATTTATTGTTGTTGAGTGAGTTCGAAGTTTAGCGGAATATGAGGTACCACTATTTTGATAAAGTAAATTGTTCTATCGTAAGAGGGTATATTCCTTAACCTCGGGTACTTGAGGAAAATAATTCTGATGATGTAATATTTTTTCTTAGTATGTAATGTTCCAAAATATGAAGTTAACATGATGTAGCCTAAATTCATTTGTTTTTGTTAACAATTTCTCTTGTGCTGTAGATATATGCTTCTGAAGATCTTTTTTAAAAATTATTAAACTTCTCAAGATTAAGAGAATTGTCACGATTTTTTTTGATGCTCAAGACAAAATAATGTCTTTATTTATCAATGCTACTTATGTGATTTAGATTGTCAGGTTGTTTGCTTCAAAACAATTATTACTATATAATCATTGCCCTTTTTATTTTATTGATTTACTATTTCTTAATATTTAAGTATTTTCGACAAAGAAAAGTTTATATGAGTTGTAATAATACCAGTTGAAGTTTGTATTAGTTTAATTTTTATTGTAGTCTAAATTCATTTGCTTTTGCTTACAATTTCTCTTGTGATGTAAATATATGCTTCTGAATATCCTTTTCCAAAATTATTCAACTTCTCAAGAGTTAGAGAATTGCCACGATTTGTTTTTCTGATGCCCAAGACTAGAGAATGACTTTATTTATCAATGCTACTTATGAGATTTATATTGTCAAGAAGTTTGTTTCAAAATAGCTCTTACTAGATAAACATTGCTTTTTTATTTTACTGATTTACTATTTCTTAATATTTCAGTATTTCCAATGAATAAAAGTTCATAAGACTTATAATAACGCCAGTTGAAGTTTTTATTAGTTTAATTTTTATTGTAGTATAAATTCATATATCCCTAACTTAGGTTGTGACTTTTTCGATGAGTTGTGACTTTTCTGATAAGTTATGACTTTTTTCAAAGGGTTGTGATTTTTCGATAAGTTGTGGCTTTTCCAAAGAGTTATGACTTTTCCAAATAGTTGTGACTTTTTCAAAGGGTTGTGACTTCTTGGAAAGGTCATGACTTTTCATATAAGACACAAAAAACACTTGCTCATACTATCCTTTGTTGACTATAAATAGAGGGATTTCCTCTCATTTTCAACCACAATTTTTTTAATCTTCTACTCTTCTTCTTCGTCTTGCATTATAAAATTTTTTGTGTGATTTATTGTCGTTGAGTTAGTTCAAAGTTAAGCGGAATATGAGGTACCACTATTCTGATGAAGTAAATTGTTCTATTGTAAGAGGGTATATTCCTTAACCTCGAGTACTTGAGGAAAATAATTTTGATGATATAATAATTATTTTTTTGCTTAATATATACAATAGTATGTAATGTTCCAATATATGAAGTTAACATGATGTAGTCTAAATTCATTTATTTTTATAAC